TCGTTGAACATATTGTTCTGTTTTTGGGCAGATAACTATGCTTGTCCGTCAGTACTTTAGTTATGCAAATGAGAGTTCACCACAAGAATACACACTAACACGAATAGCGCTTGAGAGATTCTGTGTTTACCTGTTCATCACGATTTATGAGAGATTAGGCTGCAGCTCCAGATTATTGTCTCTCCCTCCCCTACTCTTATCCTTTTTTATTATTCTCCATTCTTTGTTTCACTTTGGCAATTCTCTCACTTGAGAACTTGGAGGTTTTTGTTACTTCCCTAATGAATGGATGCACATGTTCATCACTCAAGTGCATAAAAAGACCTACAATCCTCTCTGTGGCTTACCGTGTCGTACCACTCACACTGATTGATGGAAGTGATGCTGAAAATGTTCACAAACAAGCTTTGACATTCAAAAGTGGAGCACTTGCTGCTGAACCTTTAAAAGTCTGCTTGATGGAGCTAAAGGCGGATAAAAACCAGGAATGAGAAGATAAGCAAGGAAACAATTTGGGCTATTGGATTGGTTTTCAGATGGCGAGCTCAAGCTGGAACTGAAGAAGAGCATCTCTGTTCATCCTGTATGTTTGCCTCTTAAGTATTTTCATATTTTATATGCATGAATGTTTGTTAGTTGGAATTTCTGTAGAACTGACTAGCTCAGTCTAATAGTGGTTGATCCATATTGGCTGTTCAGTGGCCAATGCTGGTAAAGCTAATGTCTAATGAAATGCTGATACATAAACAACTGTTCAAAAGTTTGGGATGATTTTTTAAATGTTTTTGAAATAAGTTTTTTATGCTCTTTTATGCTGCATGTATTTGATCAAAAATACAGTAAAAACAATAATATTGCAAAATGGTGTTAAGGTTTAAAAGTATATATTAAAAATGTATATTTAAAAATGTTATTAATTCCTGCTGAATTTTCAGTGCTGCTTAATATTTTTTATGGAAACCATGATGCATGTTTTTCAGGATTCTTAATGCAATTAATGCATCCTTTCTAAAAAAAAAAAAAATATATATATATATATATAAAAATTCTTACTGTTTTTAGTTTAGAATTTTAGTGTTTTCACTAAATGAGCATATTTATTTAAAAGCATATTACAATATGACAATACACTAAATGCAATAGTATGTAGCAAACTGTAATGTTTACCTTAAACATTTTTTTTTGTCTGATAAAAAAAATAAATTATGCGATGACTTCTAGAATAAGTGTTTTGCACTCATTTATACAAATTCAAAATAATGGCTTTGTGGAAATGAATCAAATAATTAAGATGGTTAATTTTATATTGCCAATTAAATAATATTGAATTTAAATGAAATATTATGTCATCAAACCCTACAAGTCTAGATTAGATGTTTTTCATGATCATGTTTCTGAAGTCTCTTATTGATAAACCCGTGTGTTTGTTCTTTCTGTGATTGGTGCAGTAGAATCATGCAGCAGTCGTTCCTGCAGGCCCGCTGCGAGGAGACGCTGGTCACCTCTGATTGGGGGATTCCGCTGCTGGTCTCCCTGTTGCTGCTTCTGCTTGTTTACGCCTTCCTGTATCTTCCTGCCATATCTTATCGAGCTCTGCTTCAACAAGCGCTAAGTAATCACACTGAAGCCATGCCCCTGGAAAATAATAAGACGGACTGAGGATTGTACGATTCCCATGCCAAATGTTGAATCATGCATCGTCCAATGATGAGAAGAAATGGTTCAGCATTATTAAACATTATAAACTTTCATCAGAGGAGTCCTGAATGGAAGAAACAATCACATCTACTGCTTTTGTAATTATTGTGCTATTTTGACAGACAATATTGTGAATATAATCCAACTCTTTAATGTCCAGTCATGCTAATTCACAGCATGCATTTCCATATATATATATATATATATATATATATATATATGAACACTTTTAGGCAATATAATGTGAGATGCGATAGCATAGCTAATTTTATATTGCCAATTAAATAATATTGAATTTAAATGAAATATTATGTCATCAAACCCTACAAGTCTAGATTAGATGTTTTTCATGATCATGTTTCTGAAGTCTCTTATTGATAAACCCGTGTGTTTGTTCTTTCTGTGATTGGTGCAGTAGAATCATGCAGCAGTCGTTCCTGCAGGCCCGCTGCGAGGAGACGCTGGTCACCTCTGATTGGGGGATTCCGCTGCTGGTCTCCCTGTTGCTGCTTCTGCTTGTTTACGCCTTCCTGTATCTTCCTGCCATATCTTATCGAGCTCTGCTTCAACAAGCGCTAAGTAATCACACTGAAGCCATGCCCCTGGAAAATAATAAGACGGACTGAGGATTGTACGATTCCCATGCCAAATGTTGAATCATGCATCGTCCAATGATGAGAAGAAATGGTTCAGCATTATTAAACATTATAAACTTTCATCAGAGGAGTCCTGAATGGAAGAAACAATCACATCTACTGCTTTTGTAATTATTGTGCTATTTTGACAGACAATATTGTGAATATAATCCAACTCTTTAATGTCCAGTCATGCTAATTCACAGCATGCATTTCCATATATATATATATATATATATATATATATATATGAAGACTTTTAGGCAATTTAATGTGAGATGCGATGGCATAGCAGCAGCACAGAGATATTGAAGCATCTGGATGTTGTCTAGCTTTTACACTGGAAGTAAACTTGTAACCTTTCATTGCTATCCTGTTCTCTAGAAATGGAAGAACCATTTGATTTTAATGTGAAAACAGCAATAACAACATAATATATAGGAACACAAACACAAATTGTGAACTGCTCCATATTTTTTTGACAGAACATTCTCCAATAGTCCTAAAGAAATGACTTTGTGTACGTGACCCGGGATACCCCGCACAACTAATCCTGCTTTTGGATTTTCATCTGCTTGTGTGTATTGCACATATTGTTTAATGTACTTTTATTCCTGGAAAAGTGTTTTACCTTCTGAGTAAAAGGGATTATTTAGCTCACACGCTTTCCACTTTATAAACCATCTCATATTTATTTTTATTTATATCCCTCCTCGTTAGATTCCCTTGTTCAGGTTCACCTTGGAGTAGTGCTCATGAATAATATTATTATGTTATGTAAAGGTCTGTGCTGTTAGGACTAGTTGTACATTAAATGACCTGTGTGTGTTTCCACAGTAATGTAGAAGATGTGGTGCATTTTCCTGGTTTGCCTCCCCGGAGGCAGTTAACATATCAGGTGAAGCAGCTGATCGCCAGGGAGACGGAACTAGAGAGGATGAGGAGGGTAGAGAGAGCGCAGCAGAAACGAAACTCACAGAAGGTAAAACACACAAAGTTTGATGCTTGGCTTTCAAGTGTGTTTTGTATTATTTTGTTTGGTTGTGTTTTTTTAAGATAATTTTTTGTCTTTAAAAAACATTCTGTTTCACCACTCATTTGCAGTGTAAACTTGAAATATGTTCACATGCACTTTTTTTTTAACTGCAACATTATGACTTGTCTACAGTTTTGTCCGACTTCAGTCATACTAGTCCAAACTTTTGCGAAGTTGGACTAACAGACCTAGATAATGTAGCTCGACTTCATCTAGTATGTACACTAGACCGAGTGAGGCGCAAAATGTATTTAATCCTTTAGGTATTGTGTTGTGTGTATGTTCAGCCCCAACACAGGCTACAACTATACAACATATAATGTGCAGAGCTGTAGACAATCATATTTTGTAAACAGGATTGTCTAAGTTTCAAAGCATTTGTTCTCTGCATTCAGACGGAGACAGTTAAAAAGGACCAAGAGGGGAAGAAGACAGAAGTGAAGAAACAGACAAACAGGAACCATCAGCAGAGGCTGGAGAACATAGTTAAGCAGACTGTGGTGGAAAGCAGGGTAAAGCATCTATATTAAACCACCTTAAATCCTTTACATCTGTCCTTAAACAACCTCCCCATACTCCTAAAAATCCCATTTTAAAATGTATTTTCCTTAAGTCCACTCCACCATTGAATATTATCATAGCAAATTCAATGCTGGGATTGGTGATTCACAACTGATCTGTAACTAATGAGTTTTACATTATTGCAGATAATAATTACAAAAAAGTGTAAATAATAGTTTGTAAATATTATATGCAATAATATAAAACTAATTGTGAATGTGCCATGATAAAGAGATAATATTTACAAATTGCAGTGCTAATTATAGATTATTAATCATAACCTAATTTAAAATGCCAAGTCAGAGAGACGTTGGTTTTTGCGCTGAACTATTTAGAAAATTCGCCCCTTTATCCATTTTACAGTGATATGTTATATGATTGTCCTTATACTGGTTCTCTTTGCATATGCTTGACTTATGCTTCATAATAATCCAAGATTAATTGGGTAAATAGCGGATCAGGGTCGAAGTGCTCACATGTGATGACTTGTTTATTTATCCTTTTCATGTTTAAAGCCTGAATTGGATTTCTTTGGACGAGCCATTGTACCCAAGGAGAAACCTGCGGTCACCACTACAAGTGTGTTGTTGTTGTTTGTGTATATATATATATATATATATATATATATATACATTCGTACAATAAATCGAAGTCTTCTGCATAACCTAAATGCTAAAAATGAGCTGATCTCACTTCTCTCTGCAGGTGAAGATGGTAAAGGAGGTGGAGTGGTGCATATCGGTAAAGCTGTGGGTAACAGTGATGTATGGTTTCGTTTCAATGAAGGTGTGTCCAATGCAGTGCGCAGAAACGTTTACATTCGGGAGTTACTTTAAAGTGATGTGGGCGAGAGAGATGTTGAAGCTTAATGAATGTTAATTTACCACCTTAAATCAATACACAAAAACCAAAAATGTTCTGAACCTTGTACTGTATAGTTAAAAAACAAGCATCTACAATGTGAAAAAGAAAAAGCACTGGTTCCTCTTTGTTTTGTTTTTTATTGTTCTTGTATAGTTGTCTTACACTTTTATAAATACATGTTTTCACTGAATAACAACAGCTTTTTCTTTCTTTCTATTCATAATGTCGTGGCATGATAAGTGTAAACAACAAAGCAGATTTACATTTGCATGTTTGTCCATCCTAGTCAAAGTCGGGCAATGTAATCATGACAATGGGTGGAGTCGCTCCTGTTGCCATAGTGATGAGTGACAGCTCTTGCGCTATATTATAACACATTTGCTTGACTCCACCCACGGGTTGTCCTTCAGTATATCTGGATTCAGAAATGGATCCTCATTCATTTTCTCCTCAATCCATTTAGTTAATCTGAAAATTAATGGATAATAGGAAGATAGAAAATAGCAAAAAAAAAAGGTAGCCTGAGATTCCTTGCTTCTGTCAACCCGTATGAATTATTTACTTAATTTACTTCACTAAACTTGCAACTTCACAAATCAAAATACATATTTGAATACTTCATTTAATATTTTTAGCACAAATGTATTACAATTTTTATTTATACAGAATGATTTGCATTTATATATGAATCTATGCAAATAAAAATACCCCTAGTTGGAAATCCCTGATTTGAAACAATCCATTGCAGTAGATGTTTTATGTTTGATACTCACTCTGGAAGAGAGACAGATGTTTTATCTCTGTTATACTGTAGCTGCTGCTTCAGACTGTCCACATGGTTCTTCAGCTGAGTCTCATCCAGCTCATCCATCTGAAAAAAACAGCCGTCATATTCGTTTCAATCTTGTGTCAAAGTCTTTAAGCTAAATTATCTGTAATTGATAGCTAGGTAATATAAAATAATAGTATATAAAATATACAATTAGCCTACCGTACTAAGGTCAGAGTTAAGTAGCTTAGAAGTGAAAGGATTGTTAGGAGTCCTCCAGCAAGTAGCCTGAGTTTGAATGCTTGAGGGTGTCTGTTTTTTTCCCTTTTGTAAATTCCTGGTGTACACAAAGGAGATTTAGATACACACCTGGCCTTGAGGTTATGCAGCATTCAAGCTACTTTGTTACTCAAATTCTCTCTCGTCTACATTCGTGAGTTGTAGTGGGAGGGATGTTTAGCTCTTTGGACTCTGTGCATCTATGTAAAATACATGCAAAACTGTTCAATGATGCCCTTCTGGCTTCACCTAGTTTTTACCAGAGAAACTATAGAATAAATGTTGTGATGTTATCAAGAGAATAATTGTTTTAAATATAGTAGTCACTTGATAACGTTGGTAAATGTCCCCCAAAAGCGTAGAGTTAGTTAGATTTTGTGATTTAATTATTGCTGTACCGCATTTAAACAATTGTTTGACACAACAGTTGTCCTGATTTTGACACTTGATTGTCACATACACTACCAATCAAGAGTTTGTGGTCAGTAAGATTTTTTTAGAAATTATTACTTTCATTCAGCGAAGATGCATAACAGTGATCTAAAGTGTTTGTTACAAAAGATGTATAAATATAAATATAAAATTCAGCTTTGCCATCAGAGGAATAAATTATATTTTAAAAGTTCTTTTATATTTTAAGAGTTTTTTTTTAATGTTTGTTATTGTTTCAAAATATTACTGTTTTCTGTATTTTTAGTAAATGTTACCTAAAGCAACTAGCAACTGCAAAAAGGTTGGCGAAGCTCTCGACTTCCTGTCATTTCTACCTGGGATTTATGTACTAGTAGTTTGTTACAAAAGATGTATAAATATATAAAAGTATACGTTGCTCTTTTGAGATTTCTACTCATCAAAGAATGTATCTTGAAAAATGTATTGCATTCTCTGCAAAAATATTAAGGAGCACAACTGTTTTCAACATTTATAATAAGAAATGTTTCTTCAGCACCAAATTAGCGTATTTACGAAAGATCATGTGACACTGAAGACTGGAGTAATGGCAATATAAAATTCAGCTTTGCCATCAGAGGAATAAATTATATTTTAAAAGTTCTTTTATATTTTAAGAGTTTTTTTTTAATGTTTGTTATTGTTTCAAAATATTACTGTTTTCTGTATTTTTAGTAAATGTTACCTAAAGCAACTAGCAACTGCAAAAAGGTTGGCGAAGCTCTCGACTTCCTGTCATTTCTACCTGGGATTTATGTACTAGTAGAAACATAACCACTGGTGACTTCCACCACGTTAGCTGTTTGGTTAAAAGTGAAGGCACCTGTCTGTTAATGAGATCAGGAAGTACTACGAGTGAGCAATGTGTTCTTTTATATTTTAAGAGTTTTTTTTAAATGTTTGTGATTGTTTCAAAATATTACTGTTTTCTGTATTTTTAGTAAATGTTACCTAAAGCAACTAGCAACTGCAAAAAGGTTGGCGAAGCTCTCGACTTCCTGTCATTTCTACCTGGGATTTATGTACTAGTAGAAACATAACCACTGGTGACTTCCACCACGTTAGCTGTTTGGTTAAAAGTGAAGGCACCTGTCTGTTAATGAGATCAGGAAGTACTACGAGTGAGCAATGTTGTAAGTTGCTAAGTCCCTTAAGCCACTTATAATAACACACCAAATATATCTCTTAGTCATGTGTGCTCTTAGACGGTAGAGTTAAGGCTTGATGTGTCTTTACAAACAGCAATGAATGGTGGTATGATGCAGATCATGTTTTATTCCGACTCTGATCAATGCTTTATAGACAGTTTTAAATGAATACACTTTGAAAACAAAACAAAAAAAAAATCCCCATAAAATCCTGGAAATAGGAAAAAACTGAGTGTACAAATCCCTTTTCAACAGAATACTTGCATTACAATTCAAAAACATCATAAAACTCTGACATCATGCATTTGGCAGACGCTTTTATCCATAGTGATTTAAATTCCATTTAAGCAATATATGTTAATTCATGCAATCTGGGAATCAAACCTGTGACCTTGCCTTTGTTAGTGCCGTGCACTGTTCAAGCAACAGAAAAGCTATATACTGCAACCAGTGACATCAGCCAATAATCCATAATCCAAATTTCATTTTTCCAGTCAGGTCTGAAATATACCAGTAGATGTGACAATGCATTATGTTTTCATTGTCATTATAAACTGTAAACATTGAATGTTCAATTTTTTGTGAATATTGTGTAAAATAAGTGTTACACTTATATGTATATTCCATTTTCTGCCATTAAACTGGAAGTAATAAATTGCTCTGCATGTATCAGCCATAAGGCACCCAGCTCTTTAGTTGTTGGGATCGACATCAGCCATTGCAGGACCCATATCAGTCAACCACTACTCGAAACTACCACGTTTTTCAAGTCCGCACAAGTAACAGGACATGGAGCGTCTAATCTATTCGATGCTCTTCTGACTGATTTTGTCCACTCTACCGAGGACCGCAGCTCCAGTAGCATTCTCCACCCTTCGCAACCATTCAGAACATTTCAGCAGAACACTCTGATCCACACTCTGTTCTTCGTCTTCCTCATATTCCACATCATCGTATCGGTGACGCTCATTTAGAAGAGAGATCTTCACCACTGGGATGTTGGATCGAGAACCTGACTTGGCAAGCAGAGGGTCTTTCTGATGCAGTGCCATTACGGTGCCACGGACGACACGGAGCTGCTTCTCACGGCTACGTTTCCGCAGGACCAAGGTGGCCTCAGGTGTCAAGTTGAGAGAGAAGTGAGATGCATTATTCAGTCCATGGCCTGATCCTGATGAAGCCTGTGGACTACAAGAGTCTTTGGGGATGTTTGTTGCTGAAACGCTGGCAGCAAACAACTTCTTGCTAGAGGATTTCACTGAGTAGGTTGCCAAATTGGTTGTAGAGGTACTATTGCCAGAAATACTTTTAGAAGTTGGAGTGGAGGAACTTGAAGGATCAGTGTTTTTTGGAGTCATAATCCAAGTGCTTTTACCCTCCATCCTCAAGCCAGATGTAGCTCGACAGGTGGGCAGCTTACTTTTGTGTGGTGTGCCCTTCTTGCTCAACTTCTTGAACCGTTCCTTCGCAGAACCTTTCTCCTCCACTGTCTTGAACAGGATCACAGGCGATGGTTCTGCGGGCTTCTCTTTCTCTTTGCCCAAGTTGGAAAGACTCTGTGGTCTTGTTACAGGTGGGAAAGGCATCTTTACCAGGTAGAGCAGCATGTAGGACAAGAATTCGGTTTTGGAGGTATAGTGCGACAGAAATTGGACATGATCTTTCGCATGATCAGGACAACCCGTTATTTCCAGAGCCCCCAACATCCACTTCTTTCTTCAGACAGCCACTGCGGAAATAGCGTGCAAAAATAGTCTGGCTCTTTATAGGGTGTTGGGAAAGGGGCTTAGCCAAGGCACAATGTGTGAATCCTCTGGAGTAGGTAAGCCTAACACGTGCAGCTTTGAGTTGCGTAACAGACTGAGATGTAAACATTCACTGCAAGAGTTGCACTTTTGCTGAACTGTGAGATTAAGGTAGTAATGCATATGAGAGTAGACTAATGCCCGGTTCAGACTACACGATTTTAGCCCGATTTTGCCACAATTTGCTTGACATAGGGTGTCGTGGGGGTTCGTAAATGACAATGGGTGTCGAGACGCAAGATTCCATCGTTTCAGCTCGTGTGGTGTGTCATAGTGGATGACAACCGATTCCGTGTCTGCAATGCTTCATGACATCACGACAGAAAGACTAGCATGTTTCATTTTTTTCCCCGTCGTCCACGACGAGTTCTGTCACATTGGTTACGTTGACCAATAGCAGCACAGAAGCTCTTTCATACACCGGTTTCAAACATGCGAAACGAAAGAGAGATGATGGTGCTGCTAGGTGGAATTATGAGATGGAGGAAAGGTTCGTGGAGCTGTGGCAACAGTACTCCTGCCTGTATGATGTGTCATCGAGGGACTACCACGACAGAACAAAGAAAGAAAAATGCTGGCAAACTATAGCGGAAGCGCTTCAGCAATGTTTACACTCTTGTTTTCGAAGTCAGTCGCTAGTTCTGCCTTCTCGACATCACACGCGTTGTTAAAGACGGCACGAGATGAATGGTCGGGAAGCAACATGTAGTCTGACATGTTTCTTGTCCATGACACAACAAGATTTCAGGAGTCAAAATCGTGTAATCTGACACAGTGACTATCGTGACCAACAAAAATATTGTGTAGTCTGAACCCAGCATAAGAGGTTGATTGATTTACAAAGCTTATTTTTCATCAAACAGTCTTAGTCACATTTAAACCCAACTTGGCAGCTTTCACGGTAAATATGGTTATTTCTTGGTATTGTAGTTCTAAATTCAAAATCCCAACATACCTGCAGGAAAGGTTACAGTATGTATTGTGTGTACGTTGCAATTTCAGATCGAAAAGGCTGGCCTCGACTTACACTTCTGTAGATCAATGTGCTTGTCAAGTATTAGTATATCACGTGTTTAAGTGTTTTCCCAATTAAAGGATTTTAGAGTTTACTGAACCAAATCTATTTAGGAGGTCACGCAATCTCTCTCACATACAGTCTGTAACTGTTTATTTTTTGGGATCAGGTAAAGGTTCCTCCTTCATGCTGTAAGCCTGCCATCAAAACCTGAATATGACAGTATGCATGCATTCCCGAGGTGAGGCCAAGGCTATGATTTTTTTGTTTTTTTAAGGAGTTCTGAACAGATTTTGCTGTAAATATAGTAATATGGAGTTTAGACCTGCTGGTAGATATTTGTAATTACAGTGCCTGGGGCTAAAAAGGATCTTTCTAGATTGTTGCCAATGGAGTAATGTGTGTGTGCGTATATATATATATATATATATAAGCACAGTTTTCATTCAGTTGTCATTTTATTAAACAACTGAACATCATTCCACACAAGAAATGGTCTCTCACTGTGGCTACATATTTTTTGTGTTTTTAGCTGTATTGTCTAGGAGTGTAACGATATTCAAACCAAACCGGAAAAACCGTGATACATCACCCACGCGTGTGCATATGTATCGCGGTACTCTTGGTAACGAGCCGAACCGTGAGTAATCTGAACTGTTACACCCCTAGTATTGACCAATCATATTCCTTGACTGGAATCCATATGTGCTTTGAAAAATATCACATTTTAACTTTTTGACAACATATAGCTCTCGGAGACCTGCAAGTTGTTTTTAAAGTTAATATGAGGTTGCAATGATCAGTTTAGGATGAAGGCAGCACTTTGAAACAGAGGCGCCTTCTAGTGGAAATGAAGTGTGTGTGCAAATTGTCCTTTAAAAGTAAACTGTAGTGGAGTATACTGTACAGAACAATAATATATGTGACCCTGAACCACAAAACCAGTCATAAGCTTTATACATCATCTGAAAGCTGAATAAACAAGCTTGATGTATGGTTTGTTAGGATCGGACAATATTTGGCCGAGACAACTATTTGAAAATCTGGAATCTGAGGGTGCAACAAAATCTAAATATTGCGAAAATCGCCTTTAAAATTGTCCAAATGAAGTTCTTAGCAATGCATATTACTAATCAAAAATTAAGTTTTAATATATTTTCAGTAGGAAATTTATAAAATATCTTCATGGAACATGATCTTTACTTAATATCCTAATGATTTTTGGTATAAAATAAAAATCAATAATTTTGACCCATACAATATATTTTTGGCTATTGCTACAAATATACCCCAGCGACTTAAAACTGGTTTTGTGCTCCAGGGTCACATATCATAAACATGGTATCAGTGGGTAACCAGCCAGTCAGTGCTGTAACTATAGCATCTTGTTTTCACACATGTACATACTGAAAATACTTGTTACATTCATGATTACAAAAACATTTTTAAATTGGAAAGAGTTTGATATAAAACATTAAAATGTTAGTTTCGAAGAAATCAATAAAACTGCTTTAGTTCTTGCGATTACAGTGAGTGATCAGAGTTCCTCTTTCACAGCAGCCTTCTGTTCATTCAGATATTTCTTCCTCCGTTCCTCCTCCTGTAGCATATATACAAGCACAGCATGGTGAGTGTGCATAATGAATACAATCCATGTCTATTAATGTGAGAGTGTGATAACTTACCTTGGCTTTGTCTGTTTTGGCTTTCTCAATCTCTTTTTTCATAAATGTTACAATAGGCTTCAGCTTCCTCTTGCCAGAATATGGCACTACCTGGCAAAAATTTTAGTACGATGATTACAAAATACTCATGGACTGTACTCCTAAACAATACAATACAAGCACGACTAATTTCTTTAGCCCAAAGACTAACACAATAACGTGGCCATCCTAAATATGGATTTACAATCAATATAAGATCTGAAATATTATGCAGAGCAATGTAAACAGTTAATTGTAAGAGACTGCTTACCCTCTCTGAATAAACGGCAGGAAATAATTTGATTGATGGGTATTTTTCTCTTAGATGAATGTTTACATCGTTTGCAGTAACATCAATCTTGGCAACAACAACATCTTCATTTTCACGAAAGTGTTCAGCAAGCTCTTCCCACAATGGAAACAGTGCACGACTTTCGCTGCTCCAAGGTGCATCTATTGAAATACAGTATGTTCTAAATACTCATGTTTTTTTACATGGAACATGGAAATGTCAGAATAAAGAGGAACAATCATACTTAATAAACAAAACAGCTAATCGCAGGCTAAGTTAAGACACCGACTCATGATATCAAGTTGAAGCATTTTAAAATTTGAGGTACTTACAGAACAAGACAATGACATTTTTGTTATGGTTGAAGGCCACTATTTCAAAGTTCATCCCGACCAGCTCTTTCACTGGCTGCGTGTCCCAGTTTTCAGGAATTGACTCACTCTGCAGTTTAGGCTATAAATTACAAAGATATTTGAGCTTTGAATATTATAATAAAACCTTTTTGTGTATAATAATTTTTTTAAATACATTTTAATTTATATTTTAGTAATAGTTTTCATTTGAATTATTATTATTTTTCAATTAAAAAAGATAAGACAAAGATAAAAATGAAAAAATATATATATAAAAAGATGAAAATTGATTTCTTTCATTTACCTCTCAATACTCACCTTTGCTTTCCCATCCAGGTATTTTAGGCAGAACTCTAAAAGAGTCTGTGTGTCAAACTTATCAGATGGCAGCTGGTATTGAACGTGGTCTGATAAATTGACCATACGGATCTGAGGCACTTCTTCTGATCTCACACGGAAATACTCCATAACTCGGCCATTCCGTGGCTCACTCACATCCATCATCACAAACAGAACCTAATGATAGAGTTTAAAGAAAACAGAAAGGCTTCACTACTGGCATCCACCAATATCATAATAGTAATCCACAATATTTCTAAGCATATTTCTATTGTTGATTTGTTTATTTTATTTTATTGTATTGTTGAGCAGTACTGGATTTTATGTGGTTTATGTCTAAATATAAGTCAAATGTACTGACCTTCCCTCTGAGTTTTTCCGCAGTGGTTTTAAAAGCAAGGTATGTCTCTTCAAATCCTTCCTCAGTCTTATTAATAAACAGAAGAAAATGGTTCAGCACCACTGAGTTCAGGATCTTGGATGCTGTCTGAGAGGAACACAAAAAAGAAAGAGGTTTGTTTATTTTTATATAATATATATATATATATATATATGTCCTAATGCCTAAATATTAAAATACACATATATAAAATTACCTCGCCATTGTACTCGGTCACAAGTTCCATCTCATACAGTCTGATAAACTGAACAAGATCTGTCTTCACTGTGCTGCTTCCCAGCTCAAACTGCTTGTCAGGTTTAGACTAAAGAAAATGATAGACATGAGTGAGACACAATTCATAATGTGCGGTAAAAAGGCGGCAGATTATTCTTTTTTTGGGGGACATTTTATTGATGTGTGGGGGGAAATGTTGCAGAGTCTTGAAACTCAGAAAAGAGTCTTGAAAAGCAGAAATGCGTACCTTTCTGATGAGGAGAACGGTATCTCCACTGATCTCATACTTGCTGAAGATCTCATCATTTCCTGTTACTCCAAAGGGCAGGTCTGCGATGTCAGCGGCTGTTTCATAAAACACTTTCACTATGTCTTCCTCAAGATCCTGTAGTGTATGAGCATCATTAAAAACAGTGGCGAACACAACAATGCAATAAAACATCTTTGAGCTATTTGTCCTTCATTTGAACTGATTCTTTTGAGCAAATTCCCAAAACATTTGTCAGAATCCTTCATTTGAACGGTTTCTTTCAAAATAATTGAATCAAATTTGCAAAACATTTTAAAGCATTAAAACATCTTTAGTTATGGCTGAATCATGAATGAATCCTTCATTTCAGCTGATACTTTTGTAGGAGAAAAGCTTGTTGTCCTTTATCAAAATGATCATCAGTGAAAAGCAATAATAATACTTCATTAATTAGTTAAAAATGTATGTTTTCTAAATTTTATTTTATATTGTCACTTTAAAACGTCAATTAATATTTAAATAGAAAAACTACTGAACAACTGGTCAAGAAAACATATTTAGTTACAATTTTGGATAACATTTAGTTACAAGACAATTGCAAATCCCTCCACTGTGAGAGAAAACATAATAAATAGCAGTATTTACCTAAAATGTGCTTTTTTTTTAAATAACAAAAATGATGCATAATACCTCAGGACTTCTGTGCACACTTTTTTTTATGATGATTCAAATCTGTGAAGCATTTTTTCACTGAAAATAACTGGGTAAAAAGACTTACTAAAATAAATAGGCAAGTTACCTTAAATAATCCCAGCACCACAAGCTCCTCTTCTCCTATGAATTTTTCCAGCTGTGTGAGATTACTGATGATGTTAGCGCTCTGCCCTTTTCTTCTTTCAAGCCATGTCAGGATTGTGGCAGAGCTCTTAAGATCTGGGGATGGAGTCAAACAACAAACATATATGGAAAACTGATCCTAAAGGGATGCATCCCTATATTCGATTTTGGAAAGGCGCAAGGGTCAGTAAATAAGGACAGAATCTTGTCATATTTCAACATTACCTGGACAGTACACTGGATTGTTCTTGTTTCCAGACAGGTACAGCCGTAGTGATGGTATTCTTGTGACATTAAGGGATGCGGCAAGATCTTTTTCCTTTTTCACATCCACTCCTCCAAGTCTCACATCAGACTCTGCTTCCTTCAGCGCACCGGCTGCTTCTCTAAACTCAAGGATGGAGCCAAGGGACTGGCCAGAAAGAGGCGCATCTACAGCAGGTACAAGTAAAAGCTGCAACAGTTTACTCCTTGTTGCAAATACACACCAAAAAATGTATAAAAGTGCATTTTGTAGTGGTCCCAGATGTGCTGACTCTAATTCGCTATCTAGTTTGCTTCTATATACACTGTGTCTTCATTAGTAAGTAAATAGTCATTCAGCAGATGTTTTCATCCAAAGCAACAAACAACCCCCCTTAGGTTAAATGATTTGCTCAAAGGCACAATGGTGATAGTTCATGGTTCATTGTGAAGATCGAACCAGCAACTTTCCAATTACCAGCGCTGAGATTCAAGCAGAACACCATGCCACCATTATTCATCTGAATTGAGTTTGTTTTATAAGTCTTTGAAGTAGATGTTAAAATCTCTATACAGGTCTCAATACAGAAAAACAAGCATTACATAAAAAAAAAGTACTGTTAATGTTTTTACTTCAAGTTGAAGTATTGATTTGTCAGCTCATCGAGCTGGATTTATGACAGGAAAGCCATAAAAACACACATGCAAGAAGATATACTCACAGAAATGGACCAATAGCTGGTTGTGCTGTTTAAGAGCCCATTCGAAATTGCTTTTTGTCAGCACTAGAACATCTTTGTCCTCGATGATCGCATCAGAATCCCTCTCCACCAGAGCTTCGCATAAATACACGCACACACTCAGGCAGAGCGTAATGTACACCTTCATACTGCCTTCAGAAGCTGGAAGAGACTCTCCGACCTTTGAGTGTGTGTGAAAGGCGTGTGTGGAGTGTACAGGTGATATCAGTGTGCACTTTGGCAATGGACAGTTTACAGCCAATACGAAGAGAGATAAAAGTCGAATAGTCTGAGGGTGACTTGGAGAACAATAGCTTCTTGTGCTTTGTGCACAAATCTCTGTAGTCCACACAGCAAAGGTGCAGCTTGAACTCCATGAACACTGTAAGTTCAAACATTAGTGACCTAGACAAATCTGTGATAAGAGGTCGCTGTTCATCAAATCTTTGTGCGAGAATGAGTCTGGCATGGCATTAAAACCTTTCTGTGTGAAACATAAGGGTGTGTCGGATTTGGTGACCCTGCTGTACATGTCTGGTGTTGTTCACATCAGACCAAAATACTTTTCAGGATATAAAACAGAGGAGGTTAGACAACACAGTACATTTGGATAACATTAAAGACATTTTGTGTAAAATATTGTGGGGTAATGGATTCCGGTAACCTGTAATGCTACCTTGGCAGATTTGGTGACCCTGCTGTTAGTCTGTTACGGTTCACATCAAACGATGAACAAACAACACATCACTTCTAACCACATAACTTAATTTACTCCAAAATCTAAATCCTATAATCTAAAACATCCATAGTGGGTTATTAAGATAAACCAGGCTAATATTGTAGTAGTATTTCAAACGAAACAGCTTGATATGTCATATCTAGACAAATCTGTGATGAGAGGTCGCTGTTCATCAAATCTTTGTGCGAGAATGAGTCTGGCATGCCATTAAAGCCTTTCTGTGTGAAACATAAGGGTGTGTCGGATTTGGTGACCCTGCTGTACATGTCTGGTGTTGTTCACATCAGACCAAAATGCTTTTCAGGATATAAAACAGAGGAGGTTAGACAACACAGTACATTTGGATAACATTAAAGACATTTTGTGTAAAATATTGTGGGGTAATGGATTCCGGTAACCTGTAATGCTACCTTGGCAGATTTGGTGACCCTGCTGTTAGTCTGTTACGGTTCACATCAAACGATGAACAAACAACACATCACTTCTAACCACATAACTTAATTTACTCCAAAATCTAAATCCTATAATCTAAAACATCCATAGTGGGTTATTAAGATAAACCAGGCTAATATTGTAGTAGTATTTCAAACGAAACAGCTTGATATGTCATAGTTGCCAGATTAGCATTTAAATACTACTTTAATGAAATAGCCAATTTTGTTAAATATCTTCAGTATGTCTACATATTTTATTAAGGATTCATTTATCGAATTAGATTTGAGGAAATGCATCCAACATCTGCTTTGGTCAATGTATCAGTTTTCTTTAAAGTTGTCATAATTTCTCAGTTTTCTTTTGTGATAATGTTGCAGCTGGTGGGTAGTTCCAGAAAGGCCAAATATAATAGTACTTACTTTGGAGTTATTTACAGAACAGCTGTACATGTTAACGTTTAGATACTCTGCATCAGTAATATGATTTAAAAGGAATAATGTGGTAAAAACCAACTACAGCTGTATTATTAAACAAGTTCTTCAGTATCTCACATTGTGTCTTCAGCAGAGGTCACATATATACAGACTGTAGAAGAGGTCATTAAACAACATGCACCAGTTTTGCTGAACTTGTTTTCCAACTTTGCATAGACTTGAAATGAGGCTTGACATTAATGTTCACTGTACATTAACATGTACAAAAATATAGGGAAAAAGGCCTATGAAACAATTTCTGCTAGATTAAAACAAACAATAATAACAATCTGACCCACCTCTCAATACAATGTTAACAATAGAATATTTTAGGAAACTTTATTTTCCACATTTTACCTTAAGTCATTTTTCAGTATGTTCAAAAACAAAAGCAGGTGCTTTTATCTCTACATATTTTGCAGCATTACTCAATAACTCAGCCATTGTACTTAACAGCCCTGAGATCATAACACTGGCATCATTTTAATTACCCAGTCCAACAACAACAACACCACCAAAACAAGACAAAGTGCAATCTCGGCCTTTGACTAGTACAACAGATTCAGAGTTGCTTTATATTTTCATTGCAAACATGTACTTGGAAATAATGCTGTAGTGTGGAATCCCACACCACCTGGAATTCATTGTTGTCCATTTCATAAATAGGTTAGGATTTTGGATCCTCACTTGTAGATCACCTCTGAGAGAGAGAAATGGCAATTGAAAAAGGTAACAACAGACAAATTCACTCAAGTATCTGCTTTAAAGTAAGTGCATTTCACTGCACTGAGGTCACATGGCTGGTCATATCATCCAAATTATAATCTCATTACTGTGAAAAAATTACATTATAATACTTATGCCCATTCTTGATCAGTGCAATTTTTTTAAACTGCAAACAAACAACGTTTTGAGTTTAAAATATACAAACAAAATGTCTCCTAATCTGCTCTTTCAATTTGAATTCAAATCCATGTTCAATCATATCAGCTCCATCTTCATGATCTTAGGAAAAGTGGCAAATTTTGCTGTAGGTAACAGCTGGCTTTTGTTTCATTCTAATGGCCATTAATGGAGTTTTCTCCGAGCATTTAGACCGTCTGTGTGGATCTGGCTTCCATCTGTGTCATAAAAACAAAATGTTATTTTATCTCCCAAAATTACACTGATGGGATTGTTCAATGTAATGCTGGCTTCATTAAACCAATCAACATGAAATGACACTCATGAACCATTTTACTTACATAAGTTGGCATAAAGAACGTTAAGAACGTTTGATTATTTAAAATATGCCAGGACTTAATTTCATTCAACGAATTCATCGATTTGGAAAATAAATAAGGCACAATAAAACCAGGAACATGTATTATACAAGTTATTCAAATGTATTACAAGTAAATGGAGTCCATTTGGATTTCATGTTGATTATAAAACACTACAAAACTACAACACTGACATCATACAGTCTAGTTTATGGAAAAATTTGTCAACAATAACAACAAAAAATTTTTACTTATTATTTACTGTATGAAGTACTTGAGACGATCAGCTAAATTAAAACTCAGACTATCAGAAAACTCAATGTAGGCATGCAATACTGGTCAAACGAAAGTTAAAAAGTTAAATTCAAAACAATCAGCTAAAGAAAAAGCATGACCAAAGAAATACATAATGCAAGCAAACACTAAGACAAGGACTGCACAATATTTGAAAAACTAACATTGAAATATTTTTTCTGTGATATATATATATATATATATATATATATATAAAAAATAAAATACAGGAATTTTCCCCAGATTCTGTAAATAGCTATATTTAGAAAAAATTAATAATTCTAAAATAAGTGGGGTGATGGGAGAGCATCTGCTTAGAAAAAAAAGCTGGAGATTTGTATGAGAAATTCTTTTAGGACTGCAAGACTGGTGTTCATACTTGGATTTACATTTTACAAGAACCAGTAACACCAGTAAAAAATTATTCATTCCCACTGTTTTTGACCAATTCAGTATGACTACATAATAATAATAATAATAATAATAATAATGTCTTGATTTTATTGTGATTATTGATTATAATACTGAGGTTGTGATATAAAAAAATATTAAACAAATGTTGTAATACTGTAAAAAAAACAACTATAAATAAAACAAAAACAAAAAAAACAACACACTTTACTTTTTTACTTATTAGTTTTGTTTTTATCATTATTATTTTAATATATTGTGCAGCCACAATTAAGACAAACACCATGAACCATGATATATATTGTGCAGCCACAATTAAGACGAAAACAATTAACAATGTAAGCGCGTTTCAACTGTTCCTATGAGCTTTCCCAAAAGGGTGTAAATTTACCTAAACCAAAGAGCCATGGTGTGAAAGAATGAAGAGGAGCAGGAGAAGAAACAGGGACAGACAGAAGATGAACTGTGCTAGAGCACAGCATGGAGTTACCTGAAATAGGAAAGAGAGGAGGAAGAAGAAGAAAAAACCAGGATGACAAATGCAACATTACAGTGATGGAGCAAAGTGCTTTACACATGACACCAGAGTTGGGCTTCAGCGTGTGAAGTGTGTTATTTGAAATGCTAAAATGGTTCAGGAAGAGAAAACCTCTTTGGAATCAATACCGTTTTGTGCAGCAATTGGAGCATAAATAACACACTTTACCTTTAAACAAAGAGATGATGCTTACCAAGTTTCCACTGTTATTTTCAGGATCAATATCTGCTCACCGTGTGCCAGACCATGCTGGAAAGTTCCGGGTGCTGGGCCAGGAAAAACAGCTCCTTTGCAGGCCCGAGGCTGTCCAGGGAGTTTGGTGCCAGGGCTGAGTCCAGGGAATGGGAGAGCATGCAGGGGGGCAAAGCTCGGTAAGACACCCGGCTGTACTGTGGTGGGGTAGGAGGACGGAAGGAGGGATAGAGAAGGGGTGGGAAGCGCTGGGTTCCCACAGGAGATCTCACCAGCTGCCTGAAATACAAGCAAAGAAATGTAAGTATTATTCAGTCCAACTATAAATAAAACCGTTTGAAACATCAGTGCTTCAGACAAATCCAAAGTAATTGACTGAACTTTTTGGGAGAGTGTTAGGTATAATAATATATGCATTATATTGATCAAAAGCGATTGTTTAAATTTAAAATGTTACAAAGGACTTTCAATAAATGTAGAACTTTCTATTCATTAAAGAATGTATAAAAAAAGTAACAAAAAGTGATGGCTGCTGAAAATTCAGCTTTACATCACAGAAATAAAGTAAATTTAAAAAATATAGTCAAATAGAATATATATTAGTGCTGTCAAACGATTAATCGCGATTAATTGCATCCAAAATAAAAGTTTTTGTTTACAATAATATATGTATGTGTGCCGTGTATATTTATTATGTACATATAAATACACACACATGCATGTATATATTTCAAAAAAATATGTTTATATATTACATATTTATAATATAAATTATATGAATATAAATATAGACATGTAAATATTTTCAAATTATATACTGTGTGTGTATTTATATATACATAATAAATATACACAGAACACACACATATATTATTGTAAACAAAAACTTATTTTGGATGCAATTAATCGCGATTAATCGTTTGACAGCACTAATATATATTCTATTTGACTATATTTTTAAATTTACTTTATTTCTGTGATGTAAAGCTGAATTTTCAGCTTTTTGAAATAGGAAAGAGAGGAGGAAGAAGAAGAAAAAACCAGGATGACAAATGCAACATTACAGTGATGGAGCAAAGTGCTTTACACATGACACCAGAGTTGGGCTTCAGCGTGTGAAGTGTGTTATTTGAAATGCTAAAATGGTTCAGGAAGAGAAAACCTCTTTGGAATCAATACCGTTTTGTGCAGCAATTGGAGCATAAATAACACACTTTACCTTTAAACAAAGAGATGATGCTTACCAAGTTTCCACTGTTATTTTCAGGATCAATATCTGCTCACCGTGTGCCAGACCATGCTGGAAAGTTCCGGGTGCTGGGCCAGGAAAAACAGCTCCTTTGCAGGCCCGAGGCTGTCCAGGGAGTTTGGTGCCAGGGCTGAGTCCAGGGAATGGGAGAGCATGCAGGGGGGCAAAGCTCGGTAAGACACCCGGCTGTACTGTGGTGGGGTAGGAGGACGGAAGGAGGGATAGAGAAGGGGTGGGAAGCGCTGGGTTCCCACAGGAGATCTCACCAGCTGCCTGAAATACAAGCAAAGAAATGTAAGTATTATTCAGTCCAACTATAAATAAAACCGTTTGAAACATCAGTGCTTCAGACAAATCCAAAGTAATTGACTGAACTTTTTGGGAGAGTGTTAGGTATAATAATATATGCATTATATTGATCAAAAGCGATTGTTTAAATTTAAAATGTTACAAAGGACTTTCAATAAATGTAGAACTTTCTATTCATTAAAGAATGTATAAAAAAAGTAACAAAAAGTGATGGCTGCTGAAAATTCAGCTTTACATCACAGAAATAAAGTAAATTTAAAAATATAGTCAAATAGAATATATATTAGTGCTGTCAAACGATTAATCGCGATTAATTGCATCCAAAATAAAAGTTTTTGTTTACAATAATATATGTATGTGTGCCGTGTATATTTATTATGTACATATAAATACACACACATGCATGTATATATTTCAAAAAAATATGTTTATATATTACATATTTATAATATAAATTATATGAATATAAATATAGACATGTAAATATTTTCAAATTATATACTGTGTGTGTATTTATATATACATAATAAATATACACAGAACACACATGGCTGCAATATAACAAAGTGAAAAATTTAAGGGGGTCTGAATACTTTCCGTACCCACTGTATATATGTGTGTGTGTATGTGTATTTTTAAATCATAATAATCTCACAATATTGCTATTTTACCATATTTTTTATCAAATAAATGCAGCCTTGGTGAGTATAAAAAACACCCCAAACATTTGAACAGTCGGGGTGTGTGTGTGTATATATATATATATATATATATACACACACACACACACACACACACACACACACACATACATATACACACATTATCACATTATTACAGATAAGTGGACAAATGTAACTGTGTTTTCAGTTAGCATGCCACCAAATTTGCCTGATAAGCTAGCATACCCTTAGCAAGTTAAATAACATATTACCAAATTTTCTCAAGTTAACGTTATCAGGATCAGGATATACTTATATTCAATAATAAAAAAATACATAATATGTATTAATTCATTAATTAATGGCACTACAAAAAAAAAGATACTGTTTTACTCAATGTAATATCCCACACTGGACACAAAAATAATGATATTAAATATTTAGGTTTAAGATTTTTATGACACCACAAATCATGTGATGATCCACATCTAATAAGTAACCAATATGTGTCTTGTATTTTTTTTAAATGACTTACTGCTGCCATAGAAACAGGGGTGTCGCCCACTGAGGTGGTAGTGAGCAGCCTGGCCACTCCCTGCACCACCGATGGACAGTCACCCTGAGCACCATCTGACGGCGGCGCCACCAGCGTCAGTTTTGGAGCCGCCTTCTCTCCAGCCTGGAGCCACTTTGAATCGGAATCCATAGCAGACTTGGTCCACATCATCTGGATTGGTCCAGCCCCCTCTGCGGTCACCAGACTTCTCTGAGTGCTGGTATGATGGTTCTCAATCTTGTTACCTTCCTTGTGACTCTGATTAGATGGGTGGATGGAGAAGGGGGCAGAGGTTTGTGTGTTTGATGGCGTTTTGGCAGTGGTGCTCAGCGTGGCTTCAGGTTGCATGCTCGCAGGTACACTCAGACGCTTGCGTTTCAGTGCTGGTGGGCCCTGAGTTTCTGGGTTATTCTTACTGTCCTCAGGGGTGGCGCTGAACTGAGCATTCCACAGTGGAAAGAGCAAGGTTTGGAAACAGACTTCCAACTATATTTTTATAAAGAATGCAACATGCAAGACAGTACTCTAAGACTGGGGTTCGTACTTTTTTCTGACGTACCTTTTTTAGTTTTGCTGTACCCATTGGCTTCTTTCTTGCCCTGTAAAATGAATAAAAAGGCAATTTATTAACATGACCTTTGGTTAAGTTTAAAGTATTTACCTAGGAGGGTTCCACTTGTTTCATAACAGAGTTATGAATATAATTATAATTGTTAATAATGAACAATTTTCTTCAGAAGGATTGGTTAAATATCTAGGAAGTGTGTAGTAGTGTAAAATCATTCTTACACAACACCAGTGATATGGCCATGTGCTTTTCGGGTTTCTATAAGCAGAATCCTATTGAGAGCATGACAGAAATTCAGGAAATTGTTAACAACAATTACCCTTTTTATAACCATTTCATACCGTCTTATAAACACAAGGTTTCATACCTAATAAGGCTTGAACACTTATGGCTGTTTTTTTATGATCTGATAAGTGATATATTTAAAAAAAAAAAAGTAATTGATACTTTTATTCAACAAGACTGTATTAATCAAAAGTGACAGAAAAAGACATTAAACAAATGCTGTTTATTTGAACTTTCCATTAAAAAAAATCACGGTTTCCACAAAAATATTAAGCAAGTTTCTTGAGTACCAAATCAGCATATTAGACTGACCTCTGAAGGATCATGTAATACTGAAGACTGGAATAATGATGCTGAAAATTCAGCTTTTAGTGTTTAAGAGCAACAAACATCCACAGAACAAAGGGACATTGTGACAATTACTTCTAAATGTTTATTGTAAATTACATGCCACTTGTAAATTATGAACAACTTACATAACCAAAATTTCACAGTATTAATGATTTGCTTTATATACCTGGATTGCATCCATCCTTTAGGCCAAAGTGGTTTAATATCAGCCTCTAGGAATCCTTTCAGATACTCTTCCAAACTAGAGCATGCAGGCGACTCAGAGTCATAAATAATCATCTTCAAATTCACAATCTCAAAGAGCAACTCCCTGTAAAAGTTGAAAGTGAAATTTGTTCATACTGATTATCATCGCTTACATAATTAAATGATATTTGATTTTATTTACAAGATCTGGTATCCATTAGATTAACAGAGTATTTAATGAGAATAGACAGAACTTCTAGCAATTCTTTACTAAAAGCGATCAACAGCTTTTAAAAATCCTGCACACACTCAAGAGACCTGACCTGATCTCTTCATTCCATCTGAACCTCTTGCGAGGCCCAAACACTCGTTTTCCACTCCTCTCCTCTTCTTCCTCATCGGAACCATCAATTACCTTCTCTTTCTCAGCCTCGAGTCTTAAACACAAGAACAAATAAATCAAATCTGAAGTTGCATTCGAATAGCAAACTGCATATCAATTAAAGGGGTCATATGATGCGATTTAAATTTTTCCTTTCTCTTTGGAGTGTTACAAGCTCTTGGTGCATAAAGAAGATCTGTTGTCACTTGTTGCAAAGACTAAAGTCTCAAATCCAAAGAGATATTCTTTATAAAAGTACCTAAAACAGCTCGTTCTAACACACCCCCACATATCTACATCACTATTTAGGCGGCGTTATGCAACTCTTCCCACATCTTCATGCAAAGCAAGAAGACATAACTTTTATTCTCGCTGTAGTATTGTTGCCATGTCGTGAAGGCGCTGTGTGCTTCGTTGTGAAAGCGAAACTACTTTGTTTGGCCTTCCAAAAGAGGACGATATCGCTTCGTCATGCCTAGAGCTGATCCGTGCTGGTCGCTAAAGAAAAACTTCAACTTCACGCTGTTGATCGCCGGATCGGCTTTCACCGTGGACGAAGCGGAGTCCAGCCCGGGTTCGTCACATGTGGTTGCCGCAGGCATCACAATATGGTAAGGGACGTAACATTTCCGTCACACACTTGAGGAATTTAGCCAATCACAACGCACTGGATAGCTGGCCAATCAGAGCACACCTCGCTTTCTCAGACCGATGAGCTTTGTAAAAATCGATGCGTTTCAGAAAGGCGGGGCATAGAGGAGAAACAATAATGTACAGTATGTGGAAAATAATGTTTTTTTTAACCTTAAACCGCATAAACATTTCATTACACCAAATACACTAAATAATGTTCTTTTTAGCAGCATCATATGACCCCTTTAAAACATCAGTAAAATTACAGTGATACAGTGAAAGTGATTGAGGTTTCATGCATTAAAAATGACTGATTACTTGGCAGCTCTGGCTTCAGAGTGAGCTTGGCAGTGATTCTGGAAACGGGTGATCTGTTCTGGCATGGACCTGCCAACCGCATTCTCCAGCTTCTTCAGCAGCTCCCGCAGCTGTTCATCCTGATAACACACGACAAACACATTAAACTTATAGAGACATTAAACTGGATTTCAGTTACACACACATCAGTAAGATTTTTTAACTGTTTTTGCCTCTTATGATCACCAAGGCTGCATTTATTTGATCAAAAATACAGTAAAAACAGTAATAGTTCTTACAATTTCAAATAACTGTCTTCTATTTGAATTAAAAATTTAAAAGAACTTTTTAAAAAAAATAGAAATCTTTTGTAACATTATAAATGTCTTTGTCACTCTTCATCAATGCATCCTTGCTGAACAAAAGTATTAATTTCTTTAAAATATATATACATTTTCAAATAAATTTGATTAATTATGATTAAAGATAAAGATTTTGGAATAACATGCTCTGATGAATCATGACCAAATAAGAGCAGGAACTAGCAAAATAATAGGGTCAAATTTAAAGGAATTATTTTTTTTACCAGCAAGTTTCGAATGGGTTTTTGATGGGTTAGGGATGTTTGCTATGCTGAAGTGCCGTGCAGTTTTGTAAGCTCACAGACCTGTTGGAGACTGTGGAGTTTTTTGGCTCTTTTAACCAGAGTGCCTTTGCTGCAGGACATCTGTGATGCCAAGTATGAGAAGGAAAAATTTAAAAGAACTTTTTTTAAAAAATAGAAATCTTTTGTAACATTATAAATGTCTTTGTCACTCTTCATCAATGCATCCTTGCTGAACAAAAGTATTAATTTCTTTAAAATATATATACATTTTCAAATAAATTTGATTAATTATGATTAAAGATAAATATTTTGGAATAACATGCTCTGATGAATCATGACCAAATAAGAGCAGGAACTAGCAAAATAATAGGGTCAAATTTAAAGGAATTATTTTTTTTACCAGCAAGTTTCGAATGGGTTTTTGATGGGTTAGGGATGTTTGCTATGCTGAAGTGCCGTGCAGTTTTGTAAGCTCACAGACCTGTTGGAGACTGTGGAGTTTTTTGGCTCTTTTAACCAGAGTGCCTTTGCTGCAGGACATCTGTGATGCCAAGTATGAGAAGATTCTGGATCGTACTTTCCCAATAAGCTGTTTAGAGTTCACCTCCACACTGAACATACAAAGAGACACACAGTGAAAAAAATCAATATAAGATATTACAGTATATTGGCTTAAAATATAAACAATATAGAAAAATAATGTGCTTTGCAAAATGTTACTCATTTTATAATGTGTAATGTAACTTACTCTAGAAGAACACTGTTGAGCTCTGAAGACAAAATCTCCATCTTGTGTCCTTCAATTTTCTTGACAGCCTACAGAACAAAATGAGTAGTGTATGAGAATAAATCACATACTCTTGCAAACACTTGTCTAATCCTCTAAAGCCGTAAGAGCAAACAGTACTTCTGAGAGTTCTTTAATGTGTTGCTCTAGTGTAGGTGGCAGACCATCGGGAAGTAATGTGTGGGGTTTCTCATCGACGGACACTACCAGAGCATCTCCGTTATCTTCCATGCTTGGAGAGCAGACGTTCTGCGCCTCCCCCAAGAGTCCATCTAAGTCAAAGTCTTGCTCTGCTGCTTTGACTGCTTGAAGGAGGTCGTCTGCACTGGCAGAACCAATGAGTGTGAGAAGAGGGTCAGCTGATATGGGCGGTTCTTGAACCTCAGCTTGTATAATGAGACCAGTGTCACTGAGAGCATGCGAATCTCTCTCTCTAGCGTTGAACATCTGCAGCTGCTGAAGCTTTTCCTTATGGAACTTCTTCAGCATCTTATCGATACTTAGCAGTTTCTTGTTTTTCTTCTTCTTTGCAGATGATTTGTCTGGTGGGGTGCTGAGATAGAAACCAGAAGGAAAAAAGCAAACAATGAGGGCATTTAAGAAAAAGTCTGTGAAAAGCTTATTCCTAAAGGATGTTGCGAAAAAAAATAATGTTTTCTTAACAGTAAACATTGCACTCTCAAACTAAATCTCTGCAGCAGCAAAAACCTCTTCTTGGCTTCCTCCTCGTCCTTCTTAGCAAGCATGTCTTCCTCTCTCTTTTTCTTCCCAAATTTCTTGTCTTTTCTTTGCTTAAGCTTTCGTTTCTGAGAAAGGAATCAGACCAAGTAAGATATAATAATGTATGCAGACAAATGAGTATGTGCATATATTGAACAATCTTTTGCATAAAGCTGAAGACAGAAGACAGCAGAAACTGTACTGTACACAACAAACTGGCAAAAATTGATGTTTTTTTAAAAAAGGTGGAAGGGACTTTAAATGTGTTTGCACACCTTAGGTTTAAAACCACTGTCCTCAAAATCATTCTCGTACTCCTCTCTCTCACCAGAAGCTGGCCGGAACTGCAGAGTTCCAGAGTTGATGTAGAAGCCTCCATATCTGGTGGTGAGACAACCTGGGACGAGCTCATCATACTGCGGCATGCAGTGGCAGCAGAGAAAAAGAAGACTTGAGTAAAACATTCATGTGCTCTATAAAGGGAATAATCTGATAAAAGTGGTTTTATCATCTGGCCTGAACTCACAGCCTCAGAGTTGTCAATGAATGAATCAGATTCATCATAACCAAAGCCCATATCCACCAGGTCCTGTAATCTGTCTTTTTTTCTTTTGCCAGCTCCACCCTAAATAAGAAAATGGTGGCTATTCATATATAGCTTAAGAACACATGCAAAACACAAAATGTTACATATTTACTTTACCTTGTCGAATAATAACATATACAAGTGCAGTGCAATTAAGATCTGGGTATCTGGATGTAAATCTGCATTTGCATTTTGACTTCTGAAATGTACTTTGTCTCTATAGTGCTAACAACACTATGATAAGCCTAGAAATATAATCTTGGCAAAATTCATACTCACATATTTTGCTTCAAACTTTTTTGCAAGCACCTCCAGTTCATCTCTCTCCTTGCCCTCCACCACCTCTTCTAATGTTTGTAGTTTCTTTTTTTCAGTGGTTTCCTTAAAATTAGAAAATAAGACCATGCTTTTCCTAAATACACCAGAATTAGTTTAATCCTGAAGGACTTGCAGCCAAATTGGCCGAAGTACTTGCAAAAAAGCAATTAAAATGATTTTTAACTAAGTATTGATAAAATACACATAACGGTTGCTGAATTCACAGCAAATGTCACCACTTTCTATATTCAGTCACTTTGACACCCTTGCTCACACTAATGGATCAAATATAGTAACTTTCCAAGTGTTTAACCTTTGATTTATTTTCAAAATTCCAAGAATGTTTAGTGATTGAAAATTATTTAATAGAATAATCAAAGCATTTATATTTTGTTCTTGCATACTTCCAAGCAGTGCTGAAATTTTAAATGCCTAAAAAAAATCATGATTTCCATAACAATGGTGAAATTCAGAAAATACATCAATGTCAAAGTTTGTTTACTTTTGCGCTGATCAAATCTGGGTAGCTAAACTCCGGGCAGCATTGTTCATCCGACTCGAAGAGTTTTAATTCCACTCTCGTTGCAGCATGCGCGGGTGGTGGCGGTCCAACCGCTGGCGTCGGCGCAGGTAAACCTTGGTTGACAGCTTGGTCACTGGGATTGGGGACGGTGGGAAGAGGAAAGTGTGCATTGCTTGAGATTGCGGTGAGATGAATTCTTCTTGGAGCGGCCATATTGCTCAGACCGATAGCAACACTCCACGATTCGTCCCGAACAGGTGCGCGTTTGGTTGATTAATTATGAACCTGTGAAGCCAATTGAAGTAAGTGTCATTTTCCTTCCTCAAAAGGGAAGTTGGGAGCAAGCAGCTTCCCAAGCATGCTCCTGGAGGTCTACACTACACAATTTGCATGTCTCAGCTGACAAAACCTGTTCAGGTCTGGAGTAACGATTAAGAAAAGTACATAAAGTTGTGGTTGCTGTTTGGTTGACGCAAAACATCAGTAACGATTTAAAATAGAATAATAATAGGCAACCACGTTACAATACAACGTTTGCAGAACATTTTCTCTTCTTTTAAACTTAATCTGTGCCGACAACGGATTATTTACCAACTACCAAAAATTTAACATAAACCGTTTTAAACTTAAAGAAGGCACTTTTACCCTCGCGAGAAATTATATCAACAGCTTCTATAAATTAAATCGCATACGAGAGTAGCCTAGGCATTAATACGGTGACCCTGATTTCACCAAGTAGCTACAACATGTTCCTGGATCAACATTCAAATTAACCAATCAGAATTGAGGTATAACTTTTCAGGAAATATCTGTTTTAGGCTTACGATCAGGGTTAGGGGCTTCTACACCCTTGGTAATCGGCTATAATTTCACACTGATTTTAGGAATATGGGTAGGGTTAGGTTTAGGGGAGTGGATTTAGTCTATATTTTTGCACAGTAATGTTGATCCAGGATCAACAAAAGATGTTGATCCAGGAACATGTCTTGGCAAAATCACGGCGGAATAATAACATATATAGAAGGTGCACAGTGTCATTCACACAACTACCAAACACCATCATGGTAACACACATGAAACTGAAATAATGCAATAAACATTCATTTAACAACATTAGGTGTAACACACAACCCTAATATACAAAACTGATAAGAAAAAACTAAGAAGAAACATAGTTATTTCAACAAAAAAACATCAAATTTTGAAATATAAACTCTTGATAAAAACTTTTATCACTTTAAATTATACGGTATTTTTCACTTCCAAAAACGGTATACTACCGTAAAATTTATGTCCAATACATGTAATGTCCAATACAGTTTTTCACCATATATAGTAGGGGAATTTACCGTTAACCATTTAACAGGTTTTTACTGTAGCATTTTTACAGTCTTTTACCGTTAAATTCACGGTCTTTTTTTACAGTGTAGTATTCCTAATCATGGGCCTGGGCTCGGGTTACTTTTGAGGTCTGGTACAAATATGACATGGGCTACAAAAACAAAAAAACATCTAGGCTGATATGCACATTTAATCATTAAAAGATCGCGATCTCGATTAAAACACACGCGATCTTATTCCTAAACTACGGTGATTCCGCTATGTCTATTAAACCTTTGAAAACACAATCACATCGGAATATTTTAAACCTGCTTTCGCTCATCATTTAGCCAAGCTTTATGTTTGAAACTGTCTACACAAACAGTCTTCTTACACAGTAGGCTACATTTCTATGTTGCAAACATGAAATAATAACGAAAGTATTTGGAGAAAAGTTTTTAATCCGGATATAAACTCTGATGTGGCGGCAGCCTCAATCAAAACGAGTAGCCTAATTGGATACCATTGGATACAATGATACGCTTCAAATAGGCTATTGTATATGTTACATTATGCCAGTAGGTGGCAAACAGTGACTGCTAAATGTATTTGATGTCTGAATCATTCAAGAGATTCGTTCAAAAACTCTGGACGAAACAAGTCTTCTTTTTTTTTTTTTCAAATGATTTTTTAGCTACATAATGAATTCGTTTAAATGAATAAATATTTTAAAATACACTCATTTATACCATTTTAGACATTTATAAATAGACTCATTTATAACATTAAAAAAAACATTTTGTCAGAAACTCAAATTACATATTTTGTTCGGCACGTCTAATGTTTGTTTTCAGAATTGTGGGAGAATAATAGCATTAAAATACATAGGGTAACATATCAGGCATCTAATACCATCAGTACTGTTTATAGCCTATTATGTTACATGTTACTATGCATGTTTATAAACATGTATTATGTAGTTGTGCAACTAACC